AAGTTTTGCTCAACTATTAATAAGATTTCCTGAAGTAACATCTCTACCGCTTAAAACTCTCTAAATTCCTCAATATCAAAACCTATTCTACACATGCTCGGATCTTTTAAAATCGCAAGTTATAATGCCATTTGCGTACAGTTCATTATCATTCACCCAAATCGCTCACGAATATACTCATCATGCAATCATCAAATTCGAATGGAAGACACATGAGACTACATCTGCATTATCCATTCACTGACTTTTTTGCTCATATTTCTTATCTGATAAACATTTGTCATCGAATGCAGTGGTATCAGTTGCGAGCATTTGTCATGAACAAATAAACGCTTCTCAAAATTGACATCATCCAGCGAAATTGTGTCATTAATCATACTTTTTAGGTAAATATCATTGTTCGTTTGCTCTGCGCAATTCATCAAATTCAGCATTCATCAAATCGAAACGAGAAAATATCAACTATGAGAATGATGACGAGTTCTCGTCGCATTTAGTTATCGTATTCACTACTGTAAAATTTCGTCAACTTATTGTAAAGATTCGGAAAAGTGGAAAAAATCTTATCCAAACGATAAACAAAGGATAACAACAAAGTTAAGGAGGACAATACAATAAAAATAAAACAATCAGAGTTACGATGGAAAGAATAGCACATGAGGAATAATAATATCATAACATCACGTCAACAATATCAACAATAGTAAAATTAATAGTAATCATAATTTTTGAAAAATTCCACGATATCAAAAAACAATGAAACAATGATAATAATCACATCAAAANTGAATAAATGATAATAATATGGAATGAAATGAATGATAACAATAAAAAATGAAGATATTCACCTGAAGCTGCGGCCATTTGAAGTAGCTGCGTAGTTAAAAGATCCTGACTGGCTGCTGTGGTCGAGGCAGCAGTTCCGGCAACAGTGGCTAGCGGTGAGTATCGGAAACGACCGGCCTGCGAGGTATGGTGGATTGGCCCCGCACCGAAACGTCTACCACCCGCAGCTACGGCTGCCGTATTCAACAAAGCTAACGGCATCAGTGCGGATGCCGCTTGGGCAACCTGAATATCCTTCAAATATATTTTTATCGTTCTATTCAACAAGTACGACCGTTGTATCATTCATATGCAATACTAAGCTTACATGACGACTATTGTTATTATCATTACACTGTCTGTCATGAGGCAATGAAAAAGCTATGCAATTTTAGAAGATTTTCAACCAAACATAAATATCTTTAGTTAACTCAAAAACTTTCAGTCATTCCAGAGAACGTGATGAAAATGGACGGCTGGGTCAACAGATTGATCAAGATGAAAACAAGCCACAACAGTGGTATTTTCGACGCAAAAAAANAAAAAAAAAAAAAGCCACAACAGTGGTATTTTCGACGCAAAAAAAATCTTCAATTCATGCAACTCAATGATGAATATTCAGAATCTTCGAATTTTTTTCACAATTTTTTGAACAACTCTTTGAGGCTTTCCGTTTATTGGACAGGCTTTTGAAAAGAACCGAACCAGACTATCTATCATCAGAGACCATCTTGAAACCGTTCCAAAACCACCAATATCGGATTGAAATTAGTTCTTGATATGCGCTACAATAATTTATTTGCTCACAGAATTTTATCAACTGATCGCTTTGCTACATAACAGAATAATCGAAACATTCTCACGTCATGCACCTGAAGTTGGGCTTTTTGGGCGTTTGCAGCTGGATTATTCGCGAATTTCACGGTGATCGGTTCGGTACATCCGGCCGGAATTGTGCCATTCAACTTCGATATTGCATTCTCCGCCTCACCCTTCCGATCGAAACGCACAAAACCGACACCTTTCGATAGACCTGAACTCGCATTGGTTACGATCTCTTGAACTCAACATTTCTCTTATCTGAAGAGTTCCCTTAAATCTGAGCAGTGCTCCTAAACTCAACTTTTCTTTTACGCTCAGAACTGACAGCCCGATATGATGACTTCAAATTACCATGAATAGACCGTAGCAAATAAATATGCATAGTGTAATAAGAAATAAAAACATTTGTCAATTTTAGAGAAAAACTAAAACAAATTGCTTGGCAAATGACAGCTTTCTGTCAACATGCTTAAGATCCGCATCACTCAAACAGCTGACGAATCTCTGTTGAACGTCTATTTTTCCAGACGATTACTGACAAATCACCACCGCCATTAGCCATTTGCATCTCATAACTCGCCCGGGGGACAGCTGACGGAACAACGATTACGAAACAAATTCTTTCATCAATAATCTTAAGCCACATAGATCTTCGCTCATATTTCTACGAAAACTAACCAAAAACTTGAGCAAAACCTCAAAACTGAAATGAAATCCAAACCAACTTCCATTTTACAAATTTCAAACCGCAGTAAACAAATAGAATCTAACCAGTGATATTGTCCGACAGAATACGCGATGTTATGATTTGTCCACATGATCTGAACAGATTTTCCAACTCTGGCTGGCTCATCGACTTCGGAAGGCCACTCACATACAGATTAGCACCTTTGATCGATTCACTGCTCGGGCGGGCGTACGACACCTCAAATATTCTCAATTCACGAAACAGGAACGATCAATTCACCGTAGTGATCAAAAAATTTTCTTTTAATTGTCACTAAAATGTCAAATTTCTTCACCCCTTCAATTCCTATTCCCCTGCATCATCACCTTGTGTGATACTCTATAAATCGCTCTCTGTTTTGACAGATTCATATGATGCAATTCAAATCCCCAGTAACCCAATAACTTCCAGCATTACTTAATCCATCTTCGTGTTAAATATCGTTCAGATATACAATGTTATATCCTTACAACAGTGCACTTTAACAATAGAAAGGATGAATCGTCCCGTAATCGATACCCTTTGCTTTGGAACTTTTCAATTGAAGTAATGTACATAAATATTTTGTGCTGATCCACTCTTCAGCAAGTTCATTTTTCAATAGTTATATGCCAACCGTTCATATGCTATCAACAATAACAATGCTGTCTTGAATCATTTTCAAAACCAACGAGCCGAAATATACTCAGAGCCGAAGAGGAATGTCGTCACATCACGCAGTATTTTATTACACTCAATTATTCATCAACAACTCAGCATAATTCCATTTCATGTACTATGTTTTATGCGATACAC